TTCCATCAACTTCAACCAGTTATGTCTGAAAGAGGCTACAAGTTCAGCTCTGTAGGGAAAATGCAAGTTGGGGGGAGAACCGACAAACCACAAAAAAGCCTTCCTGCTGCTGCTTTCCCTTCTGGTACTAGTCGCTCATCTGCAGCCGAGACTGCAGCCCTAAGGCTGAGAGGCCGCCCGTCTCAAATACAGCTCTGGTTGCCCTTGGTTCCTAACCCACCAACCCCAATGTTTCACCTATTAAATGTCTTTCCAGATCCACTAAATGCAAGGAGAAAAAGGAAGCGGATAGAGAGGTATAACCACAACTTAAAGATAAAGACTTCTTTTTATGCATTGGCATAAAGCAGTTTTTGTCTATTAATTCCTTGATTTAGTTAACAAATCTTTATTGATATATAATAGTAAAGCACCCAGATCTACGCATATGACAAGTTACCATTTCCTCACTCATCTTCATTATAATTTTGAAGATGTGTAATATAAGGGTAAATGGGGCTCTTGACTCCTAACACAAATCCTATTTAGGAATCTTGAATTTTTTGGTAGGACTGTTCCGTCATATTGATTTGTAGTCTGTGTGTCTTTCACTGAACATGAATAACTGACCTCCTGCGCTAACACAGATATAAAAATGTATTGACAGGCCATACACAATTTGTTTCTAGAATTTTCATTGACTTCTTTTTGGTTTAGCAGCTCTCCCAATCATCCCATTACTTACATGCAAACAGTTCTCTCTCATTTGGACTGCTGCAGGGAAACAAACAATTATTCCTTTGAAAAACAGTAGAAGTGGTACTTTGCCTCTAAGTACAGTTGTTGGGCTGTGAAAAGAAGTTTTCGTTTTCGACAACCACTGGATTAAGAACAATGCTATTCCAAGAGGTGATTTATCTTGTAATAGCAGTTATGGTGTTAGCTGAGCCAGCAATGAGGTTCATTTATTCAGCATTTATTTGAGATTGGGGGGTGGGGTGGTGCTTAAACCTCGGGGGGGGGGCAAAAACTGGTATGTTTTGTTCACTGTCGGTAATCACAGGAGCACCTAACATACAGAGAATTAATACAACATGACTGAACGAATGAGTGGTGTTGATTTACAGCTAAGGAAACAAAGACCCTGAGAATGTAAGTACCTTCGGAAGGTTACTTGAGTGGGAAGAAGTAGAAGTAGAGCTCCAAGCCTGGTTAGACTCCAAGGCCTGTGCGCTTTCTCTCATGACAAACTTGACGGCCAGGTAACCTTCCCAGCTCCCTGCCCCTGTTCCCAGTCACATCCTCTCCTGGACCGGTGGAGCTGGTGGGAGAAGTGGTATAAGTGGTATCTTGGTGGAGCAGACACCTGTGAATGCCACCAAAGCCCCATCTGAGGTAGCCCCAGAGGAATCTCACCTTGACGTCTATCTGGATCCCCCCACCCTCAAGGTACTGAAATATACTCAAGGTTATGCTATAGATCAGACACAGATAACCTGCAGGCCCATAAAAAGAGGAGCCAAGCCAACGCCAAGACAATAGTCCTCACAAATGTCTGATTGTGTTCAGCCCTACGTGAAGCCCCCTCCTTGCTCTTGATGCGGCTGAAGAACACAGTGAGCCTCTGCACCTGTGGGTGGGGAAGAAAGATCCTCAATTATAAACCGAGATACAAGGTATTAAGAGAGATTTAACACCTGCGGCCACACTTTGAGTTACAAGGTGTTAATGAGCAAGATGAACCAAGAAATGCATTTTTTTTTCCCTCCTTGGCTGCCTGGGTTTGGTGCAGAATAATGGAAACCTCAAGTGGTGAAACTATGAATCAGGAGGGTTTCCTGTATTAAGAATGATGTCATCTTACAAGACGGGAGACTTTCAGCGAGATGCAGGGACATTGGGGGTAATGTGTTTGCAGTAAGCAGGACCCTGAACTGATTGCACAGGGGAGTGTGTGAGTGACCAAAATGGAGAATGATGAGAAGTGACTAAATTATGTATGACAGTCCCTACAGAGCAGAGGGAGGAAGGAAGCTTAATGATGTTGTGGCTGGAGGACCAGCAGCGATTGGTGATGTATAGGCTGGAGGTTGGTAAGAAGAGAAATGGACCTTCGAGGACTCAGACACTATAGATGACTGTGACAGAGGCCAAGCGGTGGATCTGGGAGGGGGGAGGCGAAACAGGAGCTCGGCATGTAATGAATTTCAGTGACAACAAGACAGCCAAGTAAAGTTAACTTGACGTTAAAAATCATCATCTTAATCTATGTAGCTCTTTCAAGCCCGAGTCTTATCAAGGGGGAAAAAAAAAAAAATCTACAGTTAACGATGAAGTATTTTTCCCCCTTCGCTTTCCCGGCATCCACCCAAGGCAGCACATAATTTAATTATTGAATCTACGGGCTGGACCGCGGAGATGAATGAAATGTCTGCTGTAGTGAGAAATTAGATAGGACCAACTGTTTATTCCCATCACTCTTCCTCCGTTCGGCTAAATTAATACAGTTAACAAGCTTTTGTTTGGATGAGCGGCTGGGATCTGCGATGGGCCGACCAGAACCCGCGATGATCAGAGCAGCTATTATTTAGGGCGCCCTGGCAGTCTCCTCCAGCCCCGGGTGCAAAACCAGAGGCGGCTCCTTTGTGGGTCCCTGGGCTGGAACCGGTGTCCCCCCCAGACTCAGAGCTAGAAGTCCGACTGGAACCAGGCTCCAGAACATCAGGGTAGCTCCTTGGGGCGTATGACTTCAGAAATACCTGCGGAAGGCCTTTCCCTTTGACCAGGGCCACGTTCTTCTCCTCCCAACAGCTGTAAGGAAGCAGCACAAGGTGACGGCCGCCAACGTCACCAGGGCAGCACCCTGCGGGGCGCGCGGACAGTGCCGGGGCTGCGCAGGGGTGCGGGCTTGACCGCGTCTCAGGCTCCTCCACAGAATTTGAGTAGAAACAGTAAACCGGCCGAGCAGAGCACGGATGCAAATGTCGCTTCGAGGCATCTGCGCCCGGAGGCAGAGCGCCCCAGGCGCACCGAGGCGCTGCTCGGGGTGGGGGCTCCCCAAACCAGCGCCCCTCTCTCCCTGCCCCTGCTTCATCGCACCGGCCGCCTGCCGGTCGCCTTTTACTCACAGATGATACGTGATGACAGCGAGAGCTTTCAGTAGGCGAAGGGAGATTCAGGTGGGAAACAGCCTCGCCATCAACAACGCAAACGACCCAA